ACTAGTGCTACAAGCAGGACAGGAAGTGTGACGTTCCACACTGTAGCCAGGATATTGTAACATCGTGCCTTCTGACCATAACGTCGGGCAGTCTGCTCATCCCCTTGTACTTTCTGATCTCTGGCCTAGATGGGAAAGCAAATTATATGCATTCATTTGATTAAATCAGGAAGAAATTGTCAGAGTTTTGAAAGTTAAAAAAGAAAGCTTTGATTAAAATAAATACAATTTAGTTAACAATGACACTATTCTTGCTACAAAACTAACATGTTATTGAGAAGTACAGTTGCCAAAAACATAAGAAAGAGTATAATATCTTTCATAAAATGTAATTTTAACTAAGACTAAAAGTTGTGAATGTCAGAATTAACGTTGAGACCATGTAATTTACAAACAGGTGTATATAGTAATGAAAATTCATTTAAAACACATTCTACACTCTTGAACCGATTAGAAATTCCCAATCACCGAGTTCCACCCTTTTTTAAAATGCCCTGTTCCCTGATAAAGTAATAAATAGTAACGAATGATAAATTGCTATAACTTTTGCCAAGTAACGTTTCACCATGTCCTAAATGAAACTCCCATGTTCAGAATGTGTTCCTGAGTGGTAGAATTGGTTAAAGGGAGATTTTAAGGACAAGGTACATTGATGTCTTTACAGATTAAAAAACAAAATTAAATTTCCCTATATTTACTGGTCTTCACGTCTCATGGCCCAATCATGTTCCTGCCCTCTGCCCAATTTGTTCCTATCCATCAGCCTTACCTTAACAGAGTAGATCAATGCCATAAATCCAAGACAGAAGAGATTCAGGTACAAAGTATTACACAAGGACCATAGCAGGTGATCTCTGGGAGGTGCAGGTGCACCAATGGTGATGACGGTATGAGCAGTGTCCGGTTTATTAGGCTGTGTCAGAAACAGTTCTTCACGAGGGTAAGAGGTATCCATAATTCAAGAAATGAGAGAACGTAGGCAAGGAAACAAGGACAATACGGCTGGCCAAAGGGGAGTAAAAACACTCGAATTGGAAGAAGGTCGCTATGTAGAGCGTTGTACAGAGGGGCTCCCCAATAAAGGGTTAGTTTGTGCTGTGATAAGAAAGTAGAATGCTTAAAAGGCAAAAATAAAAACCAGTACAAGGATTCTGGTTTCAGAGCCTTGGCGGTGGTGTTGGATAGAAAGTTAATTCAGGCTGTGGACAGGAATAGGTCCATAGAGAAATGGAAATAACAGAAGGAATGATGGAGTGATAGGATGGAGAACTGCAAAGAGGATGGTAAGGTTGAGCTATTGTTAGACGTTAGGAGCTATGAGAGAGGCACAGATAGAGAACGAGCACAGTCTGTGTAAGTGACAAAGACAAAAAGGCAGACTGGATGCTGTGACCTCTCTATATAACTCCTCGTGTAGCCAGAATCCATCTCCTCCCTGTCTGTATTACAGGGTCCATCTATAAACATACTCATTTTGGTTACACACTGGTAGAATTTGCTTTGTGTGTTTGTTAAGCCCGCCTGAGCTCTATCTGCATGTCTTTCTTAAACAGGCTGAAATATGTCTGTTTGCAAATCCACATGAATGACTGCAGTAACAGTACAGATGTTTTGCTTCACCACTGGTAAAAAACATTGTTTTGTTTCATTAATTGTTGATTTTCGGTTTGAACAAAATTCGTAAAATATTGATTCGGATGATTTCTAAAATTTCTAAAACTCAAAGATCCATTATTCCCTATGGGGAATGAATGAAGGTGGCAGTCATAAATGTCCAAACTCCTAAAGGGGATAATACGTCCGGGGCAGGTAAAAGGATTTCTTCAACCAAAACAACAAACTATTGCTGCCCCCAAACACTCTGTGCTTGGTGCCACCCCGGTGCATCGCACGAACCACACACAATCTGAATCGTTCAGCTTTTTGGTAGATAACCTAATTCACTATCGATTGCCATATTTAAGGATACCAAACAGGGGAACTCTCTGCTAAACATCTAACAGACGTTATATCTATCGAGTATAACTAATATTAATTAATAATGGAATGATTAAAAATTAAATACATATTTGTTTTAATATTTGCAAATTGCAGAAAGGAATATTTTACTAAATAATACATTTTACAGAGTGTCAGCATACGTGACATTAGAGATTTGGCCTTTTAGATGAAAGCGGCAAGATGAAGTGTTAGCAATTAACTGGGCGCATTACTAACAGGCATTACCACAACGCAGGTACAGTCAGAGGGGAGAAACCATAACTACTTTATTTGCTGGAGCATTAAAAATTAGAAGGGACACTAGAGTCACCATTACAACTACAGCTTATTGTATCGTATACAGCTTATTGTATCGTATACAGCTTATTGTATTTGTTCTGGTGAGTATAATCATTACCTTCAGGCTTTTTGCTGTAAACACTTTATTTCAGAGAAAATGCAGTGTTTACATTACAGCCTAGTGATAACTTCACTGGCCACTCCTCAGATGGCTGCTAGAGGTGCTTCCTGGGGCAGTGCTGCACAGTGTGACTTGCGTTCAGTGTCTCCTCCCTCTGCACGCAGATACTGAACTTTCCTCATAGAGATGCCTTGAGTCAATGTATCTCTATGAGGAGATGCTGATTGGCCTGACGTTTAGCCCCATCTCCTTGGCGATCTAAGGCCAATCCAATGCTTTCCCTATGGGAGACAGAATGTTCAAACCTGTTGGCTGGCTGCACGGTGCCATGGGACAATGTTAATAGATGTAGGTCTGAGAGCAACAAGTGCCTTTATAAAGGCAGAAGCTAGTCACAGTGCAGGATGAGGTGTGGATACCTGCCTGGATGGAGATAGCTGCATCCTGGCCAGGTGGAAAAGTCCAGAGAGACCCTTGTCAAGCTTCGGCGACTGGGGGTGAAGCGTTCCAGGGTTCCATGTGGCATCAATGAAGCGGACTTAACGGAATTACTCGGACCTGAGGTCCACCACACTATAAGTTCAGAAAAAAAGGCAGACATATACACAGTTACAGGCAGACTGTCACACACTGTTACAGGCAAACAGTCACACACACACACACTCTCTCTATCTCACTTACTTACTTACTTACAGACAGTATGGGCTGGAGGAGGAGTGGATTCGCTGAAGTCCCTCCCTAAAGTCTGTTAGTTGGGGAAGCAGGGACTCATTGCTTCCCCTCCATGGGCAGCAGTAGCAGCAACGGCTGGGGGCTGTGTTAAGCTCCGTTCCCGCTGCTGGTTTGGCTCCGCCCGCACCTCTGGATTGGCTCTATTGGATGCATTGCTGGTCTCTGCTTGTGTGAGCTGTGTGGGCCGCCCGGCGCCCCAGCTGCCATGGCAACAGATGGATGCAATCAGGGCCGGACTGGGACCTAAAATCAGCCCTCGAAAAAAATTCTATACCAGCCCAATAATGCGTTGCGCCAGCATAGTGTGCTGATAAAGAGGGTGAAAAAATAACTTGAAATTGAAAACTCTTACTCCAACGAAGGAACGCATATAGGGCTTCAAAATAAACAAAAGAGCACCTTTATTTTAAGTAGACGTACATTTGCATGTAATGTTTCAGTACAACTACTTTGGCCTATTAAGGACATTTTAGTAATGGGACTGAAATGCTGAATGTCTGCAGTTGCACAACTAAAAAAAATGAATTGATCTTCTTTATTTTGAAGTTCCATGGGTGCGCTCTTCACTTTGAATGACGTTATTGTGCATGAGTATGCAACTAGCAACAAGACAGGGCCAATACATGCTCATTATATATATATATATATATATATATATAATGACATATTTAATGACATTTATGTGTGTATTATGCATAAATAAATGTATATTACTATATGTGTAAATATTATAGGCATAATTATATGTTACTAATACACACATCAATATACCTTCATATATATGTGTGTATTACTGTCAGGATCACATCAATTTACGTCTATTACCTTTACCTTGTTTAGTATATCTTGTCTCCAATTGTCTCCTTTTTTTCTCTTACAGCGACCCTTGTGCATCTTTTACTTCATCCCAGTCCCTGTGTGTTTCTTTTTACCCTTCTCCAGCCTCTGTATTTCTCTTTTCCCCAGCCCCTTTTGTGTTGTTCTTAACCCCAGCCACTTTGTCTCTTTCTCCCCTTCCAAATCTCATCTGTGTGTCTCTTTCTAACTCCAGACTCTGTGTGCCTCTTTCTCTTCTCCCAGTCACTCTCTGTCTCTTTTTCCCCAGCCCAGCGTTGCCTCCCACAAATCTTGTGCCACTTTGTTCCCCTTCCCTACTGTATGTCTCTTTGTCCCCCCAACAAACCTTCCGTGTGTCTCTCTTCCCAATCTCCTCCCTGTGTCTCTCTTTTACCCCTCTGTCTCTGTGTCCCCCCTTCTCCTGTGTCTCTCCATTACCCCTCTCTTTGTCCCCCCAACCTCCTATTACCCCTCTGTCTCTTTGTCCCCCCTTCCCTGGTGTCTCTCTATTACCCCTCTCTTTGTCCCCCCATCCCCTGTCTATCTATTACCCCATCTGTCTGTGTCCCCCCTTGCCCTAGGTCTCTCTATTACCCCTCTGCCTCTTGGTCGTCCACCCCAACCTGGTGTCTTTCT